GACAGCTGATCAAGAGGAATCCGCCCTCGTCTTATGGTGGAACCGACCTTCGAATCTCTTCACCCAACACTTTCACTCGAAATAGAAGTAAGCTCAACAATAATTTCGAATTGTCAATACTTTTTTACTTTGTTTAGGCAAATTTTTTTTAATGGCTATCTCCCATGAAATTGGCTCATTTAAAAAAATTCTTTTTCGCCTCTTTTTTTGAAATTGGATTCTATCTAGTATTTATAATTTGCATTTACATAATCCTGGTGTTGGTCCAAGATTGCAGGTTTTGCTGTCATCGCATACAACAACTCGACTTAGTTAGTTTTCCTTACGCTATATTCTTAACTACACTCTTAATATCTAGTGAGTATTCTAGCCAGTATAGATGAAAACCGATTTCTATTCTCATTATTGTGCATTAAAAAGCAGATAATTTTTAGCCAGTTTTTTTAGATCTATTTTGAACTCTTATGATTAAATAAAAGTTCTCTTAATAGACTGTATCTTTTTACATATATCGTCGACTGGAACTTTTTCTCCCTTAGGCTGGTGTTTATCTTTGTTTAATCCTATCTTGTAAACTTAGTTACATAATCCCACATCAACACTATTGTAATGAAGGAATTGCTTTCTTAGTTTTTTCTGCTTTTATTAGCCTTAATACAAAGGCTAATTGAGATCATGGTCACTACTCATAACTTCAAGCCACCATATACCCTTGGTTTTTTACAGTATCAATTGATCATCCTAACGCTATTATCTCACTACCATCGTTTCATGATGCATTCACATTATTTGAAAATAATATGAGTTAGAATGTTATCTGTTTTTTGCATATCCTGATAGGTTCGTTAAAATCTATATACACCGCACTGGTACGACGCTCATTTTGACGAAAAGCTATTTAACTCACAATATACACAATACACTCATATTATTTATATTCGCGCTCAATTTGTTTTTCTATTGTTCTCCGTGTTATATAGATAAATTAATTAATCTACCTTATATCACCGCTTTTATGTATATTTTACTTCCGTCTTCTTCCTCACATTTCTTCTTCCCAACAATCTACGATCAAGTTGGTTCTTCAGTCATCCACTCCGGCTCTGGACTCGATTATTCACCTATCGCTTGTCCTGGTATTCGAGGCCTTTCCACTTCCAGTGGTCGTTCTAACCCGAGAAGTCCTCTTTTATCTTCATTTGCTTTGCCAACCTCCTTACCCCTCTCTGCCCATTCTATTCCTTCATGTTCCATTTCGGCATCAACTGCCTCTTCAAACTCCGGGCATTCTCCTGCTATGTCGACGTTCGCTAATAGTTCCTGCACTTCAATAGCATCTTCCCACTCATCTGTACTTCCTAGTAATATTGGCGGCTCCAGCTCCAATGAAAATTCTTCTGCCTCATCACGGTCAATCAGACCCATTGGGGAAGGTACTTTAATTGCGGAAAATCCTGCCGCTTCCGGAACTAGCCAATCGCTACTAAATACGTCAGCGACTATGGCTGGGTCTCGGATAATGGACCATGAGCTCTCTAGCCAGCGCCATTTGGATCATTATATTCATAGCCTTGTATGTTGTCATACTTTTATATTTGTAATTCTTGACATGATCATTTTTTAAATATTTATTTCCAAAATGTTTAATTATTATATAAAAAGGCAAAACTAATAAAAATTAGCTTTATTCGCATTGCATTTCGACCTTTTTATTCTTTAATCTCGTATACAATTATATTCTTGCTTTATTTTCCCATCTCCCAATTTTATTTCCCCTTTGATTATCTTTCATTTTTCCATTTTCTTATCCCATTCTATTCTTATTATCTATTTATTTGGTATCACTATCTCTTGTGACTGTCTTCGTTTTGACAGCTGACTAAATACCTATACATCTCATCCCTTTTCTTATGCGTATCCTTGTCATATTTCAAATTTAGTCGTTTGCTTGATGGGAATATTTTTTGAGAAACATTCTGCTATTAAATTTTGCCCCCTCCTCCAATTGTTTACCAAAATGTGCTCCATTACTATAATCTCCATTGATCGTTGTTTCCTTTTCCCATTTTTAGTACTTTTTCACTTTCGAGTGTATCCTTTCTCATTTCCGACTGAATCAAGATTTTCGAGTGCTAGTCCTGTTGATCCATCATTCTAAACGTAGCCAAGTATTCGTTTTTATTCATTTATTGATGCTTTGACAAATGTCGACTTTCACTTAATTTTAATCTTTCCATGATTTCCCCAAGATTTGCGGACGGAGACGTGACCATATTTTCATTAACAGATATAGCAAAACCTGTGTCACCTTCTCACTTGCTAGGTTATATATGCTTTCCGATTGCTCTGTTTTAGACAAGTCACTTGTCTAATTTTATTTGCTACTGCCATTTCACATGAACTACTGGTTTGGCAAGAAGTTTTTAATCACTAAGACTAGCTAGCAGCTGCAAAGTTTGCTTTAGGGTGTTTCTGAGGCTCGATCAAACGAATTATTATGAGGAGGAGATATATTTTGGTTCTAGATTTAATTCCCTTAGCAATGGTTGATAACATACTTTTGGTATTCATGGCTATACGGAATAAAGAATAGTTTTTAACTCAACTTGCTGAAATTTTTACTATCATTGCCTTAAACTTACTAATAATGTGCGATTTCTCTTTTTATCAATCAAAACCAAGTTATCGCAGACTTTGACAACTAATTCGAATTAAAGCATAAATGTGCTAATTTGTCCGATTGCTTGATTTCTTAGGCCTCTTATAGTCTGGAATTACTTGTTATAATCTGCATTTATCTTAAACGTCTGGGAAAATTGTTAATCATAAACTTTTTATTATATTTTATCATTATGTTTTATATATGCCTTGTTTTATAAAGCTTGTTTCCGGCCGCCTTTCTCCTGCTGATCTGCCTGGTCTTCTCACCAGTTTACAATCGGGGCTCTTACCCTCTCTTAGTCATCGGCCTCAGCCGCTACCTCAATCCTCTGGCCCGCCTTCATCGGACAACGACGCCAACGGTTGTGGAGGCATCAACAGTAATCGCAAGGACATACGAACCGTTGTCCCGTTTACTGGTCTTGGTCAGCAATCGACCACTCCGATCAATGATTATACACGTCGAAGCTATCAGCGCATCTCTCCTAGCCATTCCACTACTACCACCGCCATCAACACAAGCAGTATTGCCAATTCTATCATATCCGCAAAGACTGGTTCCACTGCCACCGCTCCTTTAACATTATGTTCTGATTCAGGTGTAAATGGATCTGGTCTGTTGTTTAATGCATCTCGAAGTTCTGTTCCCCCAAAGGTGAATTATTACTTCGTGTATTTGTTTTTATCATCCCATCACTCTTAAAATAGTTTATTTTATCTTTACATTTCGCATTTTCTGATATGTTATGCTAAATACTACTTTGAATAATAAATCGAATTATCCTGGGTCGTTTAATATGTTGTAAAGACGGAAAGTTTAGTCTCTCAAAATGAAGTGAGTATAAATCCTGTAAATGCTAGTGAGTTTATCTTATCCCAAAATGCTTTCTCTTGCTTTCTCTTTTTCTTGCCTTTACAATCTTGTCTAAGTCAGCATCTTTTACTGGATATCAGATCGGTTCTTGAGGTGTACGAGGCAACTTTACCCCTGCCACATAGCCACTGTTATATATTTACTTAAAGCACCTCTTTCGCTTGTCTTTGAGGGATGACATATTATTATATAAAACTTGCATTCATTATGGTTGAGAATAGAAGTTCCAAAAACAAAGGCGAATTTTAAAACTCTCACCTTAGGTTAGTTTCGAATAATTTGCTAAGTAAGCCAGGAAAGGATCAGTGTTTATCAAAATTTTATACGATTTGGTTCATTCGTTGCCAAATCGTTTTCCTCTTTTCTATATTGTGCGCCTGATGTCCACTAATTTAACTCAGACTTAGCAATAAAATTGCTTTTCGGGATGCTTTACTAATTCGTCATCATGACAGTCTGCTAACAGTCATTTTTTGATTTTGCGACTTAACTAGCTAATATTTTCATTTTCAAAGTTTTTTCCCCGGTAAGTGCAAGTTTTGAGTCATCTAACACCAGCCTATTCGGGTAAATCTCCACAGATTGATGACAAGTTAATTTAAGAACTGTATCCAAGCTAGGTGGCTTAAGGTGATGCAAGACTGGAAGTTTAATTTGCCTCACGATGTAATTGAATTTTATTAGCCTTGCCCGTCATATTATATTCTTATAAATGCTGGACTGTAGTTTCAGCCTTGCATGGATCTCATCAGCACCCCCAGTAAGAATCAAACCCGGGTGCCGGAACCTGGAGACATAATAAACATCTAAATCCATCACTACAACGAGAGATATGTTATTGTGAATAAATCATTATTACCCTTAATTTGGCGTTCATAATAACATTATCATGACCAGGATAGGTTAAAGTATATGAAAATCGCATGCGTGAATCTACCCATCGACCACATTGATATTATTTTATTTTTTATCCACCTTAACATTATCAATATACACGCAGCTCTTCTCACTGCAGCGTTAGCTTTAGCTATATTTAGTATACGTACTGGAGACTATATTCCGAATTGGCCGATTGAAGAAAAATCAAGCCTAATGCAAAACACCTCATAGAGACTGGCCAGCAGAGTTACATTGCACTGGCCATTTAAAGTAGTTTGCCGGCCCATGTTTTAGTCATAAGGTTATACAATTATAAGCTTTTCAAATAGAATCGGATTACATTTGTTTTTCTTTCTTGGGCAAGATGAGGAAGTTTAGAGAGACTTTCCCTATTATATAAGCCTTTAACTTTACATCATGTCTTTTTATATGGCTTATAAGACTACTATATCAAAGCTAGGTGTTGAGCTGTCGATAAGCCTTTAAATTTATATATACATCCTCACGTCTTTTTCTCATATCTTTCACGAGATTCTTCTGGCATTTGTCTCTGGCAAAAAAATATTTTTGAATTTCTAATTCCAAAAGAGCATATGAGCATGTTATCTTTATTTGCCAAATGCGTCTTCAACTCACTTCATGTTTATTTGCTCTCATGCAACCATAGTCATCCCCGTCAAGAAGACATATTTCTCCAAAATTTGACGGTTTTAAATTTTAAATACTTTTATTTCTGATTAGAAATATATCTCTATATTTTAGTATTGCGGTTTTCTCATTGTCAGCCTAAGTAGCAATTAATCCTCCTGTGCTAATTTCAATCGGGCATGATTTTGATTTGTATTTTACATCGTTTTTGATTACTTTCTTTGTTCATTTGTCAATGTCTATCCTAACACTTGAGAAGATTATATCGTTCATACTTTTTCATATTCACTTTTTATTAGTGTGCCTTACAATTTTATCTGAAATCTCTTTATGTATTGAGATTTAATTAAGTATTCCTCCAACATAAATCTGGTTTTGCTTTCACCCGCTTTCACAGAAACTTCATTGGGCGGATGCTCATGTCCGTCTCGCCTGGTTCATCTACCAGAGCCAGCAACAACAACACCGGCATCGACTTAAAAATCTGCGAGGGGGTGAAACATCTGTTCCGGTTTCCGCATCTTCCTCTATCCTAGCAACTTCCACGGAAAACATGAGTTTATTAAGTAGTGAAATAACCTTCAAATCGCACAAAGGCGGTTCTGGCCCCATCAGTTGCATCGTTGCAGGCACTGATTCATCCATCAGCCCTTCAACTGGCACTTCGCCTTGTTCAACTTTTTGCTTGCCTCCTGCGACTTCATGTCTGGCCCACAGTCCTCGAATCTCTCCAAATGCACAACAGCCACTAGTTTTGCCTGTCCGTCCGAGACCTATTCGTACTAAACCTGCCAACCTGAGTCAGCAGTCGCCGCAAATTTTGCCTGCTGTTCAAACCGTTACACCGGGCAATCATACTGCCGGTTCGCAACCAGCACAAAGGGCTATGAATTTCCCCCCACCATTTCCACTATTGTCTCCATCAACACCTGGGGGAACAGTTGGACCAACTGGGTTGTCTCAGCAGTCACGCCGGGTTGCAGCAACGCGCAATAGTCCAGTCATACCATCCTTGCCTCCTATGCCCGAGCCCTTATCAAACAGCAGTCTCTCACGCTTTTCTTGTTTATTCCCCTCCACACCGGCTACAATGGACAGACACCTCGGCCTGGGGTCTCTTAGTGCTGGTCAAACACTTCAGCTGCCACCCCCATCATTGCCAGGCCAGCCTGTTGATACGCCAACTTTTGGCACTGCCATTACTTCATCGTCCGCTGCAACTGAATCTACGGCTCCGTCAATACCGGCTTCTCCACTCACATGGGCACGCTTGGCTGAGGTGATGATTGCCACTGGCCTAGTGAAGCCTAATCCCAATGCCGGAGCATCTACGGGAGGTCTAAGTAGTGTCGAAACATTGGCCGCTGCCCTGGCTGCAGCAGCCCCACTTGCTTCCTCCAGTACTGGCGGAAGTGAATCTTACTCATATCTTGAATCTGTCTTGCCTGGTCTGCCCTTGCCTTCTCATATTCCCTCTTCATCGTTAGCTTCTTATTCTTCCCCTTCTTTTTCCTCCTGTCATCTTCCATCGCCTTCCATCACTCCTACGGGTACTCCGATTGGCAATTGGTTCCCTACTATGTCCAGCCACAATTCGACTGATCTCTGCACTATTTCATCTACTGCATCTCCGACAGTCCATACCACTCACACTCATACTCACAGCCACTACCAGCACACTCAAAACTCACACCCAAATCAGCAAAACCCCTCTTATCACCATCAATTCCAACAGCAACATGGTTTTCCTCCTATCCGACCCATCCAACCCCCTCGTTTACCATCATCTTCCCTTCCTCCCGTCTCCTGCTCTACCTCCATTCCCACTAACAACAACATCGGCTCTTCTGGCTCGTCTGGCTCCGGATTTAGTTTGCCTGATACGAAGCGTCCTCGGCTTTCCTTGACTAGTGACTGTGTCCCAGCATTTTTGCGCTCCGTTTATGCCTATTCCGATCCCTTAGGCGGTGATATCCCTAGTGGCGGAACTACTGCTGCCGCATACCACTCTAGTAGCTGTCGTTCGCTTCCTGCTCCCGCACATCAGTCAGCCAATTCGGAACGCAGCTGCAAACAGAGGCAAGCGGTTGAGTCTACTTCTCCTGGGGGACCTGTTACTGGCAGCGGTGGTTTCCTTAATCTTGCCACTCAAGTTTCCACAATCCAAGCACTACACGCGCTTCACGCGACCGGATCACTTTCATTGCCACAGTCTGCGTCCTCAACCGCCTCTACCACCAGTAATAGCCATGCTAGCACTACTACAACCACTAATCCACTCCAAGGTCGTCCACCGAATTCACAGCACCTACTTAACACGTATAATCAACATTACCAGCCTAAATTACAACTTCAGCATTCGGCTAATCGGTCTGCGCATTCTCTCTCTCTTTTGCCGACTACAGTTTATGAACATCACTCTCAATCTTTCGCCCATCCATCTCATACATACTCACAGGTCCATCTGAACCCACAAACTAACATCCAGAGTCAGCCTCCTCTTCTTTCCATTCCTTTGTCTTCTACAGGACTTTCCATTTCTAATCCCCTCCACAATCATCGTATCTCGCCTTTGCAGCATCACTATAACAGCCAGCAGCAGCAACAGCAAGCCATGGCAGCTGCTATTTTCCTTAATGGGGCCTGCTCACAAGCCCATTCTTCCATTATTTCCAATGCTACTCCTTCCTGCCATTCTTTCTGCTCTCCTAGCATTGCCTCTAACTCTGTTCCTGCTAACTCATCCACTGACCTCGCTCCCTCATGTCTTCTATCTCCTACACTCAGTGGTTTGCCACTCTCCTCTATTCCCTCCAAATTCCCAACTTCCTCGTCCTGTCTTTCTCCTCAAATTCCTCCTGTACTGGCTTCTGGTTCGTCTATCTCCTTACTTAACCCTCAGCATTCATCATATTCTCATGCTCCCTATTCTTACACACTTACTCCGACCTGCATGGCAACTTCCCACTTCGCATACTCTGGACAGCCTCAACTCTCATCTACGGTAGCTCCCTCTAGACCTTTAGCTAGACAGCTGAGGTTTTCCGTGCCCAACGAACCCATTCCACCAAACTCAACACGTTTGGCCGGAAATGACACTACCGGCAGCTAAATCCACCATTTGTGTCAGTTTTGCCAATGTTTGATGACACATGCTTGCATAAGTAGACAAAAGCCAAACTTCAGAATGAAAAATAAATGATTCCCTGGTCCATCATGTATCACTTTCGAACAGCTTGCTTCCTTTCAAAGTAGCAATCGTAATCCTGTTCGTGATCCCTGGTCTCAATTCAGATATGTGAAGAGTGATAAATGCGCTGTTGTACTTTCAAACCTTGCGCTCGTCGCTGATTGCCTGAAATGACAGAGAGGTAAAATGAACAAGAGTACATGCATTCACATTTGCAATGCAGATAGGAATGAACGGAGGGCATGAAATCTTAGACAGGATCATCCGCTCACGAATGAACGCACATGAAGAGTAAACAAGAAGACTGATAGGAGTAGTCTGTACAGCTTAATTCTGTATTGATCGCTACTCTCCCATATCATTCTTGATCTTTCTTTTCATTTCCCATTTCTTCCATTTCCGGTCCCCTTTAGCCCAATTCCACCTTATCTCCTCACAAGGGGAGAATATCCAGCTTCTTTCGTACTTGGGCTTTGTGATCATCGGAGTCCGCGCTCCCTCATTTGTTTTTTTTTATATTCAGCCTTACCTATATTCACTTTATCGGTTATTCGCGTATGAGCTCATAGCTCACTCATATTCCCTTGGGGTTGCCTGAGTACATGTTTCCGTACTTCCTCAATATTGCTTTCTTTCTTTTCTTTTCTGATACCCTAATTCATTTTCTACTTCCTCCTCTTTATGTATCCACATTTTGCTAGATTCGGCTACAAAAATGATAATTGTATCAGCCCTGAATGCTTCGCATATGCGCATGCGCAGGCACTCATAAACAGAGCTTATTTTTAATTATGTACATATAAATGACTTTCTGCAATTCTTCGTAATCCCCTCATAGATAATCTTTTCTCCCCTTTCTTCCTCTACTTCTAATCCTAATATCAGGCGCCTATTATTTACATTCATTATTGCAAATATTCTTAATCGTGACCTAATTGGTAAACATAATGTATGTGATGCCTCCCCGAGTAGATTTCACTAACTCCACTATTTGACTCCTTTTTTAATGGTGTGGCTTACGATACTTCTCAATTTTAATTTTTGGTTTAGTCAATACATTTTGATGCACTCTCCTCTTTTTCCCCATTTTGACCCTCTCACTTTATCATATATTTGATGGCGGCTTAATTTCTTCTCAGTTTACATTTCGTTATCAGTCTGTATGATATGAATACCTTCATCCAACTTTTGTTTTAATCTACTTTAAACCTCTTCTGTCACTACATTATGCTTCCTGATTGACAGTCAATGTCTGCTTCTGTCATCAATCCCCATCACACCCACTGTTTTAACTTGCTATTTAATCTAGTTTGCTTTCATATGCGCCTGTTATTTTTACATTTTTTGAAAATTTTCTAATTAAAGGTTGTATTCTATATATTTTACAACCTTGTCTATTTTTTTCTATATAGCCCCTCCCAACTACCATTTTCATTCCTCTTTCTATGCATACATATGTTATTATTTTTACTTTCTCTACTCATACGTGCCTCTGGTCATATCTTATTTAAGTTCTTATACGATTTGCTCGAGTATTTACTTGTGCCTGCCTTCAGTTGGTGGAACTTTTAATTGATGTTATTTCTGATTAACTAAAATGGATTCTCATTCTTCTTGTTCCTCCTAATTTTGCTGTCCTCGACCTCGTTTCCCCAGCTTGTCTTTACCGCCCTTGGTGAGTCTTCTCAGAAGACGCTCACTTTTGTCTAAGTCTTTCTTTCACAATCTCTCCCAACTTTGCATATGCCTATGCATGTTGAGATGTCTGATTCCATTCCCCAAATTTCCTTGCCAAGTCATTATTTCCATCCTAGTAAATTCATTGCAATTCATCTTACTCCTCGCGATCCCTTAATTAGGATCACCTCCTCCTCGTCTCGATCTCTCTCATTCTTCATATTCAATAAACACTTGTTCTCGGATAATCATCCGTCAACCTGTTGATTTTCTTTCATATATTCTCTTTGGTAACTGTTTATATCCACATGTTCATATATTTATAGGTATGCAAACCTAAACATGCATATATACATATATTCTTACCTACTATGACTTATTCGGTCTATTTCTTCTATCAGTAAAGAGAAATTATGGGATTTCCTGATATTAAACTCTGCCCTATGGCATTACTTCATTCTCCCTGTTAGTTTATCAATCTTTTGGCTATTGTTTTTCGCTTTTTTGCGTAAATGACATAGCGATACCATTTTTGAACTAGAAATGGATA